ATCGTAAGATTTCCTTTAACTTTATCGTTAACTATGAATTCTTGGGTTGCGATGAATGTTTTCATTGTTTCTTCGATTATGAGTAGCTAAATTCACATGCTAGGAAATAGGGGATCGATGCTTTGAATTTGTGTCGAGCTCAAGATTGTTCAATTTATGCGATTCATGCTTAATTAGGGTTTTCGATTTATGCTTGAACGTTGAGAATTATTGAAGGAGTGACACTTCAATTTACAATTGCTCGTTGATTGAATTTGATTCGTTCTTGTGTGATTTTGTTAACCCGATATCGACTAGTTGATTAACCATCTTCTAGGATTATTTAATCGACTCTTAAAACTTAAAGGGGAGGAGTCGGTCAAAATAGTTTCGCATGAACTAGGCTTGTTCGTAACTGTATTGCCTAGGAGTTAATTGACTCGTTAATTTGCCGTTCTAGTTTATTCTCTTGTTACGAATAGTTATTGGGAATGAATGCTTGATCTGGTAGATTATTCGAATTTCTTAGCTGAACAATCGCTTACCTGTTAGTTGCATATCAAACCAAAGCGGGAATCCCCGACTCCCTAGCTTCTCAATCCTTATTTGTTCTACGTGATCGTTTGCTATTTACTTGCTTTATTTTATTTATTCGCAGTAGTTGATAATAAAAACCAACCAAACTTTGATTTAGCATGTTTAGGATTTTCATTCCTTTTATTTTCTATTTTTGTGTTTGAATAATCGTACAAAATAATCCGGCTGACCTTCCTCGAGAGACACGACCCGGTGTCGAATCTTTTGATTTAACTCCGGAAAAATACTTACAACAGCTAAAACAGATAAAAATTATGGTAGGTATTTTTATCGGTGTCCAGCAGGATTGAACACCCAGGGAGTTTCGTTTGGGAAAACGAGAACTATTTTTCTTCAACACCACCTGCTCAAACGTATTGTAATACGCAATCCAATGCCCAAAGTAGCAGTCATACGACTCGTGGGTCCAACTACTCAAGCACGTCACATGCGGCAACGAACAATGATACTCCGGCAGGCCCTCAAATTGCGACCCCAGATGTCGTTACTAGTTTTCTTCTGGTCATTGGGTTCTTAAATATTGTAGCACTTTTAAAATTCATCATGATGTAATGTAAAAATTTTATTAAAATAATCGCGTATGTTTTTGTTGTAGTGTTTCTATTTTATATGAAAACTATCGTTGTATCAATGCAAGTTATATCCTAAAACATTTTTCACTTCTATATTTGGTTATATCCTAAAACGTTTTTTAATGTATAATAAAATGCTTGTTATTTGGTATATATTTTCTCTTTTTACGTAAGCATGCAAAGCAAAAGAGGAAAAGAAATGAAAATTTTAAAAGGATTTGACGACAATAATTATAAACATAATTTTAATGCATACAACTTATTTTTAATGTATATCAAGAGTATTCATTAATATATGATAAGTGAGGCATGGGGGCATGGGGCAAAGTTATCAAAATGAAAAAAAAACCACACCCTGTACCACGTGACTGTAGGCATGGGACAAAGTTATCAAAATGAGATTGGAATGTGTTGTAATTGGAATAGTGTTGATGTAGGGCAAAGTTTAATGTGGACCGTCAATGTTTCATATGTTGGGGTATTTTTTTTTTTTTCCAAACTTCTTTGGCTATATATATACCTACATGAGTTTCACTATAATGTATTAGTTCAATTCTCACCGCTCCATAACATCCATCATTTTGATTTTATTTACAAACATGTGGGGTTTATCATTGTCAAATACAAAGGAAGAACATTTCCACTATATACGAGAAGACTTTTCAAATAAATGGCTTCCACAAGCGGAGGAATCTTTTTGTTCTATCCTTCTACATTACATCCAATCAGAAGGGTTGAACTCCGAGTTTGACATAGATATGGCGTTTGATAGAATTCACAGAAGTTGCTTGGGTGAAATTGGCCACAATTTGACTTTAACTGAATGCTACACCACATTCATGGTATTGAAAGAAAGGTATCGAACATTTAAATATTTTATAGAACATCCATTGGGTGTTTTCGATATACACGCAAAACTATCTATCTTGACGAGGACATTCGGGAGGAAGCACTTGAGGTACGTATGTTGAACCACAATTCCTTTTTTTTTTAGTATTTCTTTTGTTTTTATTATATAAATATGTTGTACTAAATATTTTCTTAACTCCATTTGTTATGTAATAATATGGTAAAAGTACATTCTTCATTGTGTAATTCGAGTATATCATATGCTCTAAGGTTTGGGCATTAGCATATTATTACTGTAGCAACAATCCTGAGCCTTTATGGGACACGTTGAAGATAATTTTCGAACCCCACAACTTAACCCATATCCTGGTGAAATGAGGGCGAAAGATGAAAGTAACCTTCGCAAAATTGACCAACTTGTTTGCGACTACTGGGCCGAAGAAAGACGTATGGCAGCGCAAAGAAGAAGGAGGGGAAATTGAGATTGCTGTCGCATATGTACTGGTGAAATTGTGACAATTGTTGCGTTATATTTATTCGAACTATTTTATTAAAATAAAATGACCTTTCTGTCATTATGTTTGTAATCTCCATTGTGTTTCTTTCATGGTCGAACAAATTGTGATTTCCATTGTGTGTACTGCTATTTCATATTTGAAATAAAAAATGCTATATAATAGTATTGAAAATAAAATATTATTGTTGATCATATATCGTCCAACGTTTTTTTGTTTTTGTTTTATTGGTTGAACAAAGGTTGTGTTTATTTTATATTACATTACAATAGTCTGAATGTAGAAAGAAAGACCAATCACAAATAATATAAAAAAAAATTAATAAAAATAATGGTTATACCTTCTTGGGGAGGCAAAAAATCATTAGCGGTAAAAATAAAATGCAAGGGAAATTCACGTGGATGGAGATTTGTTTCGTTTTTTTTTTTCTCGTTTGTTTAAAAAGAAAAATTAAATAATAAATCCTAACTATAGATTATGGGATGTGGCCGACTGTTACTGTCATTGCAGGAATAAATAATTATAATATGTGCAGCATGGGAAAATATATCTAGTAAAATATTAGTTTAAACTCCAAATTTACCAGTCAAAAACTAGATAAAATTTAATTCTAGTTGGTATTCAATCGCCCCCTTAACAATTAAAGCAGCGAGGTTTAAGTTTTGAGTTTATAAACCCGCTTTGGCAACCAGCTCCTGTGTTAAAGCTTCAATATTAAAAAATAAAATTGAATAAAAAAGGTTGTATAATGAAATCGTGAAATACACGCTGAAATTAAAACAATTGAGAATATACACCAATCTCATGTACTCGCGTGGGATGAATAAAAAAATCTCTGCCAACATGTCCCTCCCTTGTCTCACTTGAGTTTTTATATTTTTATTTTATTGGTTTCTTTTTTCATTTTTGTTTTAATATTTTGCTTGTGAGAAAATATCTGCATCTTTTCATTTATGTTTTTTTACTCTATTTTAATTTATATTTAGTTAACGTTTTTTTTTTATCAACTTTTTTTATTTATATTTATTTGATCTCTTTTCTTTGTTCCAAGATTTCCTAAAATTTTATATTCGTACGTGCTTAACACTATATAATTGTAAATAATGCAATATAATTATATATAATTATATTATTTTTTATATTTTTTCTATATATATATATGAAATGTTTACATTTAATAAAAAATAAAAAAAGTAGAGTTATAGTTTTAAATTATTAATAAAAATATAAGAGTATAATATTAAATAAAAGTAAGTGGGAAACATGTGAGACTCATGAAAAATGAGGTTTATGGGGTTTATGGTTATTGGAGGTTTATGAGTGTAGGAGTAAGAATGAGGTTTTGGATGATGTGACGTGTTGTGAAGTGTAAAAGTGAGGTTTATAGAGGTTTATAAAATTGTATGGCTAAAGATGCTCTTAGTGAGATTTTGATTTTATATTAAGTTATATTTTAAAAAATAATTAAAGTTAGTCTGATATAAAAGTATGAGAGAGATGATATGAAGTGATGGTTATTTAAAATTATGTGATTTGATAAATAGTGAATTGAACTTTATGTGACGCCTGAGAATGATTGAGTGATAATATTTAATTATATTGATAATATTGAAGATGGTGGAGTTTGAGTTAAAGTTGAGTAAAAATTTTGAATATGAATTGAGTTTATTCACATACAAATACACTCTAATTCCATGTCTAAGACCCAGGCCTATGCAACAGAGTTTTAGTTGTTGCGAGTCTTATGACAGATGTATCGCGAAGTAAATTTTGCGGCGAATTTCGTGGCTGGCCATGCGGCTATGTACCCGATCGGGGTTCACACGTTATCCTCTCCACCTCCCGGCTTGGACATTTGGCTCGAGCATGATAGTATGGGGGTGCCGCTCCCCCGACAAGTCCTAGACTAAGCACTAGGCCTCTTTCTCTATACCAAAAAAAAAAAAAAAAGATTTCAACATACAAGAGGTCTTGTAGACTTTCGAATATCACAACCAACTTTTAATGTATATTAAAAAACTAACTATAATCATTTATGTTTAACTCACCAAATTGAATTTTGACAATATAAATGCTCTACTAGTATTAGCTCACATAAAATTGACAAAATTGCATATGACATCATGACCTTATCAACTTTTACACTTCTATAACGATTTTGAGACCTTGGCACTTCAGCACCTAACCTTTTGTTTTTTGCAAAACGAAACATTGACTCGGTGGCCGACCGGTGCCAACATGTCCGACAATTTAATTGACGTGGCACACGTTTTCATCTCATATCATCATCAATCTTGAAATAAACCTTCCAATCATGAAACTTATCATCAATCAACAAGGTTTATATCACATCACATTTCATAATATATAGTAGTAAATAGATAAAAAGATAGATAAATCAACTGAAAAATATATTAGTAAATAGATAAAAAGATGCACACTGCACACAAGATCATAGCTGGTCTTCGTTCCGGATTTCATGTTGACTTAGAACCAAAAACACCAATAAATTAAGACAAAAAATTTTGATTTCATGTTGAAAATCAACTAAATGCAAAGACTTACAGAGCTGATGATGAGAGGTCTTTGATATTGTAAAAGATCACTATTTTAAGTGAAGAAAAAGACAAAGTTTCAATTACAGTCTTATCATTATCAGGTAGACCATATGATGTGCTCTCCCCAGCAGCCAATTTAGACTCAATACTCTTATTAGCAACTCAACTCCAAATATCATCACTCCATTGACAAAAAACCTTAGTGTCTGAAGCTTATCTATGGCTGGTGGATTTGTAGTCTCAAGTGAAGGAGTTCCATACAATGGAAGAATTACGCCGTTTGTCGTGTTATCGTGCATGGTGGCCGCCACAGGCGGTGTTATATTCGGTTACGATATCGGAATTTCAGGTTCTCAAAACGAATCTCTTCGTTACCATCATCGTATTCGCAAATTCACAATTCCTTTTCTTGTTTGTTCGATATGTTTATACGAAAATCGCGCTTTTATTCAGGTGGAGTAACCTCCATGGCGCCGTTCTTGAAGAAGTTTTTCCCCGAAGTGTATGCAAGAATGAGAGAGGACACTAGGATTAGCAACTACTGCAAATTCGACAGCCAACTCTTGACGCTATTCACGTCGTCGCTGTATTTGGCAGGTTTAGTTTCTTCGTTTTTCGCGTCTTTCGTAAATCGAGCTTATGGCCGAAAGCCAACGATCATAGTCGGAGGAGCTGCATTTCTTGCCGGGGCCGCACTTAACGGTGCAGCTGTCAGTATATATATGCTGATTTTCGGCAGGGTTCTTCTCGGAGTTGGTGTTGGTTTTGCAAACCAGGTAAATCCCATACTATAGTTCACTTCTAAATTGTTACCTAATGTGAGTTCACTTCACATTCATTATAAAATATGTTTATAACTTTCCAGGCAGTGCCCTTATACCTTTCAGAAATGGCACCCCCCAAATACAGGGGAGCCTTCAACAACGCCTTCCAGCTCAGCGTCGGCATAGGCGCCCTATCCGCAAACCTAATCAACTACGGCTCGGAAAAAATAAAACCCGGCTGGGGCTGGCGGCTCTCGCTGGCCCTAGCCGCAGTCCCTGCCTCTGCCCTAACGTTAGGCGCGATTTTCCTTCCCGAGACCCCAAACAGCCTAATCCAGCGCGGCCACAAGCCCGAGAAAGCCAAACGGACCCTACAAAGAGCCCGTGGCACTCACGACTTCCAGCCCGAGCTCGACGACCTCATCCAGGCCAGCCGGAGCTCGAAAGACTCGGCAAATGCCTACTCGAAAATCTTGCGAAGGAATTACCGGCCCCAGCTCGTGATGTCGGTGGCCATCCCGTTTTTCCAGCAGGTGACGGGGATCAACGTGATCGCGTTCTACGCGCCGATTCTCTTCCGGACGATCGGTTTTGGCGAGAGCGCGTCTCTGCTGTCGAGCGTGATGACGGGGGTCGTGGGCATTTTCACGACTCTTTTGTCGATGGCGGCCGTGGATAGGTTCGGGAGGCGTTTCCTGCTGATGAGCGGTGGGCTGACGATGCTCGGTTCGCAGGTTGCGGTTGGGGTGTTGATGGGAGCTGAGTTGGGGGATAAGGGTCGGTTGAGAGGAGGCTTGGCTTACACGGTGTTGGTGCTGATCGGGATCTATGTGGCGGGGTTTGGGGTGTCGTGGGGCCCGTTGGGGTGGTTGATCCCGAGCGAGATTTTCCCGCTGGAGATTCGGGCAGTGGGGCAGAGCGTGTCGGTTGGGGTGAACTTCTTGTTCACGTTCTTGGTCGGGCAGATGTTTTTGTGGATGCTGTGCCGGATGAAGGCCGGGATCTTCCTGTTTTTCGGGGGGTGGGTGGCGGTTATGACGTGTTTCGTGTATCTGTTGCTGCCGGAGACGAAGAACGTGCCGATCGAGCAGATGGAGAGGGTGTGGAGAGAGCACTGGTTCTGGAGTAGAATTGTAGCTATTAATAGTAGTAATGACGTGTAGTTTAACTGTTTAAGGTTACTTTTGGTTTTTT